GAAAATGGATGGATGGATGGATGTTCTGAAGCCTAAAATGACCTAATATTCACCATGGACATCCTACCCCTGATCCCAGTACCTAAACTTAACCATTAATCCTGATCCCTCATGTTAACCTCAGACCCCCGACGCAAAGACCCCTGGTGGCGCAACCCGGAAAAGCCGCGGGCGTCAAGGACTGACGCGAGGGGGGGTACCTGATGCGTCAAAATAAGACGCAGAGGGAACCTTACCTTAAGCGTCAATATGTGACGACTTGGGAGTGAGAATGTGTAGCAAAGACACACTTGAGTAGAACTGAACAGACAGGAACTGATTAGTTTTCACCTGTAGGTTTAACTATTTGCTTACTGTGTTCTATTTACCTTCAAACTTGAAACTCAGATCTTGGAGGAACATCAGACCCAACTTTAYTGTGGTCAAGTTAAAACTTGGAGAACCAGTAGTATTTGCAAATGGTTATGCTCAATGACCAAGCTAATGATTCTTATTACCTGATAACAGTTTATCTGCATGTATTTAAATAAACACCCTTTAATACCAAATAATAGAAAAAATTGTTTGTTTATATTTAAAAGATGCACAAYGACAAAAGTTAAAATAGAAAGTTCATTTCTGAAGCTATCATGTGTGAGTCAGCCACTTTGGATTTTGATATTGGGGCTGATTAGGATTCTTAGACTTTTGACATGGATTTTCAAACATTGAAGCCTTTTGAAGCATTTTGTATTTAAACCCTTAAAGTTTACATCCTTGCATTGTCAAAGTCTTTATGTGTTTTGAATAATTTGCAGCCAGATAAAAGCTAAGGAGATGGTCTGCTGCAAGTTTTTTGTCTTAGCTTTTTTAAACTAGATCGGTTCAAGCTTGTGTCCCTCTCAGAGTGGGTGTAAGCCTGCATTTAGCTACGTCAGATGTTAAATAGGTGTATCAGCGAGCAAGATCAGTTTATTCAGATGTCCTTCATCTAAAGGCATCTGTGGAGCTCTAAAGGGAAGAAATCATGGTGAGATTGGGAAGGTAATCACTACAAGGGCAAAGGAAGAGCATTGAGAATGACAGGAATGGTTCCTCTCAGAAAGATGGGAAAATGGACATAATTTTCCTTTTGTTTCCCCCTYTCCTCTCCAACACACCCTCCCCCACTGTTTCAGTCAAAACAATGAAGCTTCTTTTTCTTTTTCTTTTCTTCCTGCAAAATAAAATTGTAGTTTTTGTGAAGTGTCTGTTTCCCATCTCCCTCATTGTCATCCCAACCAAACCCCCCCTTCCTGTCCCTTTCCCCGTCTCTTCCTCATGAATGTCACCTCTACTGATGGTGGCTGCTGGAATCCACACACACACGCACACACATGCATCCTCTCGCACTGGCTTCAGAAGGGAGGAGGAGAGAGAGAGAGAGAAGATGAGGAGGTTGGGGTGGGGGGTGGATTGGTGAGGACTGTGGGAAAAGGAGTGTGCCATCCAGAGGCAGAAGAGGAACCTCTGTCTGTGTGTGTCCATGTCTCCGCTTTGTTCCCAGCTGTGCTCCGACAAACACTGTCAGCGTCCCGCCTGCTGCTCCACCTCTGGATTTAACTCAGCTGGATTACAGCTCGGACTCCTCGCTCTGTCGTTTTTCAATGGGAGGCAAAGTTGGACCTCTGTGGACTGCACGATGGGCGACAAACAGTTTGGGCTTTCTTGCTCTTTTAAGAGTTTCCTAGCATTCAAGATGAGCTCACTTTTCTTCAGAAAACGTGTTTTTATATGTAATATAATTTGAGCTGCTTCTCTTTGTGTTGCGTTTATTGGAAGTAGTTATTCTGCATTACGGTGTTTTAAACTTAAGGTATGTTTTGAAGGGGAAGATGAGTGGGGAAGAGGGTTGAGAATATCTTCTCCTTATAAAAGACATTTGTTCCAACTGTGATCTTAGACTAAAAGGCAAAATGTGACTGTATCAGATTATCCCACGTTTTGTTTGGTTCTGATTTTTATTTTTGGCCAGAGTGGAGGCTTTAAACAGGACTACATCTTAACTTGCATCTCTTTCAGATCTGCACTTTCAAAGGGATTCATCAAGCTAAACTCTTCCCTGTTAACCCACTTAGTAGCCTGATCTCCCCTGGGGGGCTTCTTTAAAACATCTGTCCTACTCTAGTTTTTTTTTCTGAGGAAGAGCAAAAAAGACCAAGCAGCAAAAGGGGGTACAGAAAAGTACAACACCCCCCTCCCGAAGGTGTGAGGGGGGGAGAAGATGGCAGCTCTTGCCAGCTCTCTCATCAGACAGAAACGGGCGGTGAAGGACGATCAAGCCAACCGACCGGTCGCCAACAAGCGCAGACCCTGTCCCAAGAGCAACAAGTCTCTGTGCCAGAAACAGATCCTAGTCCTCATCTCCAAAGTTCGACTCTGCGGGGGTCGTAAAAGTCGAAACGACAAAAGACCAGGTGACTCGCTTCTGTTATTTTCCCATTTTTATTTTTACATTTGCTGCGTTTTGGCTTTTTCTTGGAGACTTTTTTTTCTAAAACACTCAACTTTGGCTTACAGTGGAATAAATTTAAACTCTTGAGTTTAKTTCATTTCAAGATGTTTAATAAAACTCATCTCACTTAACTTGATTTTTACATTCATTACAAAGTCAGTTTCTGTTCTAATATTTGTTGATGTTTAAACTTCTTGATGTAACAAGAGGATGAGTCTAACTCCAGAACTTATTGCATCAAGAGTAAGATGCACACTGATTATTTTACACTTCAAAGTTCTTGAAATGTTCCAAAGATTAAGCAGATCAAATAAGCCAACTTTATTTTGCTGCAGCAACCTTTTAGATGGATTTCCAAATGTCAAACAGTAATTGCCTACTACAGAAAGTGAAAGGTGGATAATGTTTTTGCTTGTGTGAACATGTGTTTTTCAGAAACCACTGGACAAATTATACTGAAATTATCRTAAAGAGGACATTGTGCAAAATTCACTGTTTTTAGCTGTTAAATGCATTTTGCTGTGTACGTGAAGAGTATTAGMTTGGTAAAAACCAGCCCCTTGTCCTCTTTGCTTCATTCAGATGGTCTGGACTCTTGGCTGTTGACTCGAAGTTTAAAACGATTGGATCTGACTTTATCCAATTGCTAATGTTTGGCCAATAAGAATGTAGTTCACCAGCTCAACTGTGAAGGAAGCTAAGCTAAGAAGCTAACTGGAATTTGCGTGCGCTGTAAAAAAAACCATGCCCTACTGAGAGTAGTACCAAGCTGAACGAGATGTCTGTATGATTGATTGATTGATTTGAGATGGCTGCTATGGTTTATCAACCTCAGCTAACACAAAAAATGTATTTAACTCAGTCTGTTTGACCAAATGAGGTATGTATATTGAATGAAGGTGCTATCATGTGACTTTTCATGGTCGGAGAGAGCGGCCATATTGTTTGGAGCAAAAATAGGCTAGTGAAGCTCTACTCTGTTCATTCTCTTCATAAGATGATTTGAGTCTAAAACTCTCACGTTAAAAAATGTATTACTTTAAGAACACCAAAGTCTTTAATCTATAGTTTACCGTTTTTTGAGTTTTAGCTTCAGTTTTTGTATTTTCTAAGATTTTCTGCCACATCAATTCAGAGTTAATATGAATATGAATGTTGCTGAACAAACATTTTTAGCCTCGAAATAAGATACTGTATTTTATTTACTTTGTTTGGTGAGTCTGGCTGATTCCTGCTTCTTCATTGAAACAAATGGTGCAGCTTAAACACACAACCAATCAACTCTTATTTGTCACGCTAACTCAACACTACAGGTTTATCAAATCACCTGGGGAATAAAAAAAAGTCTATTTTATTTTAGTTGTGTTCGAAGAGACGTATTAGGATGAGTATATATGTATCTGTTACAGCCTAACCCGGACAATCCCTGGCTTTCATAAAACTGACTGTTTACATAATAATACCAGCTGTCTGGCTGGTGTTGTGCTGTCAAGACGGGGTGGGGATGGGGGTGGGGGTGGGGGGGATAACTGTACTCTCCAATCAAATGGCTCTGAGCTCACGCACTGTTACAGTAATGTCCTTATGGCCCCTTGAAATGCTAACTGCTGTCCATGCTTGTCCCTCTCATTCTGTGTTTGTGCTGAACGGTTCGAGGGACGTGGATTAGCTCTGGGGAGTGGGGGAGAGGGAAATCAGCGCTGTGTTGTTAAATACCACTCAAACTATATTTGAATTTGTAAAACGTCTGACTACAAAAAGGTGAAAAAAGGTTTTCCACAGAATACTGTGCTAAAACCCTTTATTTAAACAGCATTTTATATTCCTGTTTACTTCAGTTTGTTTGAAGTGGAGTTCTGTGGAAATAGAATGAACAAATAATATCTTACCTGTTGTAGACGGCTCTTAGGAGACGCAGATTAAATATTGATCAGACTGATGAGCTATCACTTCATCCAAGTGGGCCCAATTTTTTAAGACCTGAGTGGTTTTGTAACTGTATTTCACTTTGCTCTTATTTTGCTCTAACTAGCCGTAAGCTCATCACTTTGATCAGAATTTAACATGACTTTTTTTAAAACTATGGCACTTTAAGACCCTATAAATTATACATTTGATACAGATGTATGTTCAGAATGATGGTTTTAGTGTTCTAATACAGATGTGTCATATTTATCACTTTAGAGATAACTTAGTGTAATTTGATATTTTTAATTTATTCGACTTAATGAATGAATGAATGTATGATACTTTATTGATCCCAAGGGGAAATTACAGTTCAGTACACCCCCCCCCC